TTGAGTGATTGGTTGTGGTCAGCCTCCATTTTCACATAATGTTGATAAATGCATAAGTACCTGGTCTTTAGGAGTCCTAATAAGGCACTGTAGGACAAACACAGTAGTATTTTTTTTTTTTCTTAAAGTTTTTATTGTGAATTATATTATAGTTTACATGGGGAGAACAATAGCTTTACATTCATCCTATCTTATTTCATTGCAATGACTACAGTTCCCTGCATGCATCATCAAACAGGTAAAGAGTATGCCCCACAAGCTTGCCCCCTGGCCATCAAAACACAGATCCTCTCCTCCCAGAGTCCAGAGTCCCCAGTCGCTCCATCTCTCCATGTCATCATCTCTGCCTGCTTCTCTGGATAGGGTCCCTCACTCTGCTCTTCTCCCTTGATGGTCCCAGGGTCTTCCATTCCTGAACTGCTAGATCAGCCACTCCCCTCTTTTTGTTACAAAACGTCTACCTTTACATTTGCAACACTCACAATCAGCCTTGATAGCAATTATTCACTATTGAACCACAAGAGTCTTACCCCATCTCCTTTCACCAGCCCCATCCAGACAGGTTGGAAACCACTCAGTGAAGATTCTACCTTCTCCCGTACCCTCTGAAACTAGGCTCCCTCTTGAAAGCTTGTAAGCCTGTCACTTTATGACTTTGTAGCCCCCTCATTTTGGGTAGCCAATGTCTAAGTTGCCCATTCCTGTCAACCTTCTGTACCAAGGAAGTAGGAATGATCCTTGCTATAAAGATTCATTTACTAGAAGGAGGGAGGGAATGGAAGAACATCCACAAGCATAGGTCAGGTTCATCAAATAGTAGTGGATTACTCTTTTTCCTCTTCTTTATTCCTCTAGTTGAGTTCTGGTCGTTCAGCTATTGAAGCCAGGTCAAATGGATACTTTCTGCAAGTATGCCTGTTCTTGTGCATCTCCCGTCACTTCATATCAGCTGGACCCTTCACTCTCTGCTCTAGTCCTATGTGGCCCTGTCCCTGGGCCCAGAAGTCCCCAGGTCTTGCCATACTGCTGGCCAACCATGTCTCAACCCAGGTTGACAGGAGTCTATTGAACAAGGTCGGACTTAGCTCACAACTTCATTGCTGTTTTTCCTCCATTTCCCCAATGTGGGCTCCAGCCAGATGACATGCCTGTTCGTGTATTCCCCTTGAATCTTAGTCTTGGAAGGGGTTTGCCCTAAGGGGACCTGCCATTATTGTTTTTGATTTTTCCTGCTGGTCCTTCAAGAAGTATCTTCTAGCAGTTCTAGACTGGTCTGCATGTCCTTTCAGTGGAAATTTCCTACCTCAAAATGTTCTGGATGAGGATCAGGATTCCACCTATGGTCTTATGCAATGCAAAGGCTCCACAGGAAGCCTCCTTCACTGGGCAAGTTCTAGCCCCATTTTAGGTATTCCAATCAGTTATAGGTGAGACGTGATGTTTCTGGCTATTCCTTTCTCCCCCCCCGCCCCCAAGAGTCTATTTTACAATAGTAGGTAAGGGAAACCAAGATTCAAAAGACAGCCAAGTATCTTAATATGATTTTCCCTCTTTTACCCATTCAAACGATGCTTTAATCCCTTTTGTTACAAGGTTGTACATACATCATTATTTACCTCTGCCCCACTTAGTCCATGCATCCCTGCCTAACTGTTCTCTCCCATCTGTCTTGTTCTTCCAATCCCCCCCACTTCTAGTGTATTGCTCCCCACCCCCACCCCAGTACCCAAAGTATGCTGTGACTATTCCCTACCCTAGCACAGGACTATTAACCATAAGGTTGGTGGTTCATAGTCCTGGTGAGGCACTGTAGGACAAGCATGGGACTACTAACTACAAGGCTAGTGGTTCAAACTCACCATTTGCTCAGGCAAATGTTACAAAGCTTCTTTGTTGTTCTTATTATGTGCCGTGGAGTTGGTTCCAACTCATAGCAACCCTGTACAGGGTTTCTGAAGCTGTAAATCTTAACAGGAGCAGAAAGCCTCAGCTTTCCCCCATGGAACAGCTGGTAGTTTCGAACCGCTGACCTTGCAGTTCACAGCCAGATTTGTAACCATTAGGCTACCTGGGCTCCTTTAACCAGTCTGTAAATGCCCTACAGGCACATTCCACAATCCAGCCTCCTATTCCTAGGTACTCAGCTTTAGTTGGTCCATGGGCCGTGAAGCCCCCAACTGCTCTGGCTGTCCATATTGTCACTATGCTGTCTCTCATGTTCTAATCATGGCTCTTCTTTCTTGTTGGTCCTGGAGTCATCCCTGCTTCAAAGATGGCTCATTTTAAAGCCTAGCAGGATGGCAAAACTAACCCGTCTCAGCATTGTTAAGTGCCATCCAGTCAGTTTGACTCATCGTGATGCTGATGGGTTTCAACTGTTGACCTCGTGGTCTGCAGTCTAGTGCTGATCCTACAGCACCACAACCATACCAGAAGCCCAGTCCCAGCCTTAGAGTCTTATATACCTTTTATATACCTTATGTGCATGATCCCATCCAATCATTTGGTGGAAGTTTAGGGACAATATGCATTATTTTTTGAGACAATTTGTTACTGAGCTACTAAGTGATCTTGCGTTAGTGTCAGTCCAGAATTTGAAGATGATCTTAGTATAATAGTCTTGGGAAATAATCTTACAGTTTCTACCGGTCCAGTAAGTCTCTGGGTTTTTTGTTTTTCTTTAAGCATGTGAGTTTTATTCCACATTTGTCTCATTCTATCAGGATCCTTTTACTGTGGCTCTGATTAGAACACTTAGTAGCCAGGTACTATCTAGTTCTAGTCTCAAGGTAGATAAGACCATAGTTCATTTAGACTATTTGTTCCTGGAGACTAGTTTCTTTTCTTTTGCTTTGGATGAATAGTGACAAATAGTTGTAGCTCAAGTGCTCTCTTGCATAGTTAGAAGACCCCAGATATTATTCACCAAATAGTGAAAACATAACTTTGTGAACATAAATACCAATAGACTAAGATGTCCAACAGGCAGTGATTTTAATCCAACACAGAAAGCCCATCTTGCAAGATGTTTGGTATCCATAACTGTGGCTCTATGTACTTCACTTATAAATATTACATACATAATATGTACATAATACATACATAGATATATATGTATACTTGCTACTTGCTTCTTGATCCTTTTCTGTCTTTGCATTAAATGGTACAGGAAATCAATCTTATACCTTAGGTCCTCTACTCTGCCCCTGTCTTATACATGATCATGACCTGAGTGCTTTACATCCCACAGTTTCTTCTCATCCTTAAATAAAGTCCCGGTATGGCAATGTAGGATAAAACACTGGAATGCAAGGTTGGTTTGAACCGAAAGGCTGGCAGTTCAAACTTTGCAGCTGCTCCTTGGAAACCCTATATGGGGTTGCTATGAATTAGAACCATGTCAACGGTACTTAACAACATGCTTACATAGGAGCGTGAATGCCGCTTCCTAAAGAAAATGTTTCCTATTTATCTTGGTCAAATCTCTTTAGTACATGATTAGCTTAGGATAAGACAGATTCCACCACTCATCAGTCATAGGATGTTGAGAGTGTTATGAAATGTGTCTACGCCTTAGTTTCCTAATTCATAAAAATGGATGACAATTATCTACCTCAAGTTTTTGTGAGATTATTAATAACATTCTTAAGCTTCTCCTTTGCAGGAGTTACCAGAACTAGAGTTTAATATTTTGAGTAATGTTGACTATTGACCTCTCTCCATCAACCTTTAAAGCAGGGAAAAAGTACGTTGTACATTAGTGCATCACCAGGATCTACAGGTGGTCTTGGTACGTTGTACTATTCACCTTTACACCAGGAGGCCAGCATCTATGGACAGAGGCCTTCTAGTCCTTTGGCTTTCAATTGAGAATTAAGTTGGGATTACACTTTTTCCCTGTCAGTAGTAGTGGCCATGTTTCTTTATCTGTCAGGCAACCCCTCTCTGACTATTCTATAGTTCAACTGAACAAAAAAGACGAATACTGAAGAGTCAATGTGTCTTGGAGGGAAGACAGCATGATTCTGTCTTACGTACATTATCAGATGGAGGGGAAGGGCTGGGAAGTGTTTATTTAGTTCAAGTCCACAGAAACAACAACTATCATAAAACTTCCTGCCTGTGCTCAGTCCTACGGTGGTACTGCAGGCCCTTCACTGGTTTCTATCTGTCCATATATTTGTAAACTGTCCCTTCTTTCAACAGTCCAATTAATCCAGTTGAGTTTGTTGCCTATCTCCTTCTGGGATGCTGACTGACAAAGAGGTTCATTGTTGATATTTGCTCATTGTTATTTGCTAAAAAAAATGAAGTTGTAAAAGATAAGGTATGGGAGCAGGCTTCTCAAATGTAAATGCACATCATAAGGCTTGTTGAGCTCACATGCTAACCCCAAGCCAGCAGAGATGCATTTCTTATAAGTTTTCTGGTGATGTTGATGCATCTAGTCTGGAGACCAGACTTTGAGAAACATTGAACTAAAGAAATGCCACAGGTAAAAGGCATGGTACATTATAATCTAGGTTTTATTTTAAACCTCTAAAAAGCAATGGGGCAAGTAGATTCAATGCATGGGAGCAGATGAAAAGCGTGCAAGGCACACCTACAGGGGGTTCCATGGAGCATGGGCCATGGCTCAGAGTGTCCTAAGGACAGGGTTAGGAAGGATCTTCTGTTCTGACCCAATCCTGGTCACACAGGCCTAGAACTGTACAGATACCTCTCTCAGAGTCTTTTGATGTGCCTCTGCGTTCAGTTTCTTTAGGCCAGAGCACCCTGTTCCCCACATAGTCATTCAAGCACAGGAACATACACTAATGTCCCGGCCCACCCAGTTACATTCACAAAACAATGCTGCTGACTTCAGTGCTCGAGTATCAACTCCAGAGTCGCTATGAGCAGACTGATAAAGGACTACTGGAGGGGCACAGTGTCAGCTATCCTGATTTGAAAGGGACAAAAAGGAAACATCCTACTGAGCAACTAGGGCTGGACAGGTGTTAGGGAGGTACAGACACCAGTTCTGAGAGACCATCAAGCTCTGCGCTGCTCCTTAATAGCCAGTCCAGAAGGAAACAAATTGCCAACAAGCCAGTCCCCAGCAAGTCTCCCAGCCCTGTGAGATAAGGGATACAGTGGCTGTCAGGGTCCAGGGCCTTGTGCCAAGTCAGACGAACCATCACTTCTGCTAGGTACAGTAGGATCGTCACCTGGTCAGAAGCAAGCAGACAGACATAAAAAGCAATGAAGTCACAGTCAAGTATGGCCAAGAAATACTACGGGCAGAAATCAAAGTCAATACTGCTAACCCTAGATGGTTCCTACTGCTAACCCTAGATGGTTCCCTTTCTCCAGCTTCTCTTGTTCTTTGTGACCCAAGACCTTACTCATCTGAGGAATTAGAACTATAGAAATGGATTTTGCTGGAACTTAAATTTGGATTTATTTGATCTCCTTTCACTTGGAGCTTTTGTTGGCTGGCTCAGCAGCCTGCTTCATGTTCCATGACTATGTGCTCCATCCTCAGAAGTATTCTGACCCTTCGACAATGATGTTCAAAGGCTACAAAAGCTGACTGAGCATCTGAACAAAAGGACTGTTCTCTCTATATCCAAAAGCCATCGTCTTCCTTTGGAACATTTCACTCAAGACCAGCAATATGAAGGAGCTCAGGTTTGCTGACTGATAAACGAAGTGAATGCTTGTTGTCTGATACATCCATCCTTACCTGAATCAGGCCTGCAAGCAGATACAACACAACAAAGGTCTTGCTGCTTGTGACCGAGTGACCTTCTACCAGGTTGATAACGATGAAGAAAATCAGATGGCCTGGAATCACCAGGAAAAGCAGGACTCTGGCTGACATGGAGTTGATATCTAAAAGAAATTAAACCAAGAAAGTCTCTTGACATGCCTGGAATGAGAAGCCACCAATGAACCAGGCAGAAATGAACCGACAAATACTGTGAAGAAATAAAACGGTAAAATGAAGTATATGTTAGCAGGAATGAGTTACTTGAAATTGAGTCAAGGAGGTGGTAAGAAAAGAAAAGTGCAAGAGGCTTAGAAGCCCAAGCACAAGGAAGAACCAAGGCTTGAGTATGAGGAACCTAGTGATCTGGGGAGAGACATAAATGAGGCAGGAGGAAGTATGCTTATTTTAAGTGCAGTGCAGTGAGAGTCATTAAGTGATTTCATTTGTACTTTAAAAAGAGCACTTTGGCAAGAATGGATGTTCAAGGGGAAGTGGAAACCATGTCTGAAAGAGACGGTCATGGAAATAGCGTATTAATACGAAATATGGGAAAGAAAGATCAGCATGTCTAAGTTATTTGCTCTGTTAGGTGCTGTTGAGTCTATTCTGACTCATAATGAAAATGTATACAAGAAGGAAACAAACAAAACCGGATCCTACACCATGCTCACTATTGTCATGTTAGACCCATTGTTTCTGCCACTGTGTCAATACTTCTTACGGGAGGTCGTCTTCTTTGTCAATGATCTTTCTACTTTACCCAGCATGCCATCCTTCTCCAGGGACTGATCTGGTCTGAGAACATGTCTGAAGAATGAGAGACAAAAGTCTTGCCATACCCATTTCCAAGGAGCATTCTTGCTGTATTTGAGCGACAGCAGTTAGTTCTTCTGGCAGGCCATGGTACTTTCAATAATCTTCTCCAATACCATAATTTTTAAATGCATTGATTATTCCTTTACAGTCTTCCTTCTACATTCTAACTTCTGCAAGCATTTTGAGGCAACTGAAAATACCAAGTCTCGGGACATCGCACCGTAATCCTCAAACTGCCATCTTTGCTCTTTAACACTTTAAAAAGGACTTATGCAGCAGATTTGCCTAATGTAATATAAGCTATTTGATATTTTTGTTGTCTTTAAATGGAGGTACAGTCATCAATAACTGTTTCAATCCCTCTACACTCCCAGCGTGGCACTATAGAATAAGTACTTTACTGCTAACCACAAGGTTGGTGGTGCAAACCCACTAGCCACTCCTTGGGAACCCTACACTGGGTCACGATGAATCAGAACCAACTCCACAGCACTCAGAAAGCAAGGCTGTATCATCTGGATATTATAGGTTCTTACTGAGTCTTCCTCCAATCCTGATGCCACACTCTTCAAATAATTCAGCTTCTTAGGTTATCTGACATAACAAATTGAATAAGGAAGGTGAAACAATAGGTTTTTAAAACCATTCAGTATCCCCTTGTTCTGTTTGAATGCTTGTCTCTTGTCTCATGATAACAATTACGCGTGTTTTGGGATACCCATTCTTTGCAATGTTAGCCATAGTTACGATCCACAGTTACGATCCACACAGTCAAATGTCTTTGCATAAAAAGCACAAGAAAATCTCTTTCTGGTATTCTGCTTTTAGAGACGATCCATTTGATGTTAGCAATGATATCACTTCATTCCATACCCTTTGCTTCACATCCTCTTCTGAATCCAGCTTGAATTTCTGACAGCTTCCAATCTATGTACTGTTACAAGCTTTTAAAATGATCTTCGCCAAAATTTTACTTACATGTGATATAGATGAGATTGTTAAATGATTTCCACATTCTGTTGGGTTACCTCTCTTTGGAATGGGCATAACTATGGATCTGTCTTCTAATTCATTTGGTAGGTAAGCTGTCTTCCAAATTCCTAGGCATACACAAGTGAGCACCTCCAGTGCTGTACCAGTTTAATGTTACTTATGAAACATTTCAATTTGCATCCAGTCAATTCCTGGAGCTTTGTTTTATTGCCAGTGCCTCGTTCTTGAGGATCATTATTTTGATATGCTACCTTGTGAAAGGGCTAAGCATCAATCAATTCTTTTTATTACAGTGACATTATGTATTCCTTCCATCATGTTCTAATGCTCCCCCCGCCCCTAGATTTTCCTATTTCCCTCATAGATTCTTTCAATTCTGCAACCTGAGGCTTGAATTTTTTCTTCAGCTTAAGAAATGCTGACCATGTTCTTCCCTCGAGGTTTTCCAGGTCTTTGTATTTTGCATTATAATACTTTACTTTGTAATCTTGAACTGCTCTTGGAACTTATTTTTTCCTCATTTCTTCCAGCCACTTTGCTTCTCTATGCTTGAGGTCAATTTTCAATCTCTTTGACATCTTTTTTTTTTTTTTTTAACGTCTTCTTTTAATGCATGATGTTTTTGATGTCATCCCACAACTCTTTGGGGCTTCAGTTACTAGTGTCTAATGTATCACATCTGTAAATCTGTTCTTCATATGGTCTCTAAATTTAGGTGGGATATATTAGAGGTCATAATTTGGCTCTCATGGACTTCCTTCATCCTAAACTTGCATAGGAAGAGTTAATAGTGTGTTCCACAGTTGACCCGTGGTCTTGTTTTGGCTGATGATACTATCGAGCGTCTCCAGATGTAGTTTGATTCCTGTGTATTCCATCTGGAGAAGTCCATGTGTATAGTCTCCGTTTACAGTGTTGAAACTATGTATTTGGAAAATGCTAACATGTAATCTCCAATATCGTTTCTATTGCCAAGACCATATTTTCCAACTATTTCCTTATCCTTTTTCTTCTGTTTCCAGTGTTACTAATAATTATCAATGAATCTTTGACCAATTTCAAATCTAGAAGTTGGCAGAACTCCTCAGTTTCATTATCACTGGGTTTGGTTGTTGGTTATCACAGACACCATTGTACTTCAAGATAGTTCTGGAAATGCTTTTTTTGGTGATGAATGGGATGTCATTCTTCAATTTGCTTTGCAGGTATAGTAAACCATAGGATTGTGAAGTTCTAAATGGCCAATACCACTTCATTTCAGTTCACTAATGCCTAGGTTATTGATCTTTATGCGTTTTATTTAATTTTTGATGGCTTCCAGTTTTCCTAGATTCATCCTTTGAACATCCTACATTTTTATTACAAGGGGATGTTTGCAGGCGTTATGAATTATGTACCACCAGTGAATGAAGGTCCTGAAAGCTTTGCTCCATCTATGTCATTAAGGCCAACTCTGCGTAGGCAGCTTTTCCCAAGTCATATTTTGAGTGCTTTACAAGCTGAAGGGCTCATGTCCTGCTACTATATTCATAGTTTTTAGTGGCTATCCTGCTACTATATTCATAGTTTTTAGTGGCTAACCTTTAAGAAGTTCTTTAACCTCTTCCTCATCTTAGTCTAAGTTCCCCAGAAACCTGTCCTCGGAATAGCTTCCATCACCACACAGTATGACACACTTACAGCAGACTTACGGCTTTACATTGTTGCTAAGTGCCATTTAAGTTGATTCCAACTTATAACGCTATCAATCTCTGTGGGAGCAGCAAGCCCCTCATCTTTCTCCCATGAGTGTCTGGTGTGCTTGAACCACACTCACTTTGAGGTTCACGATCCAGTGCTTATCCTCTAGAGCCACCAGAGAGGTTAGGATTTACAACACCTAGGTACATACTTTAGAAACATGGCCCAGTCAAGTTGACACATATCGGGGGGTGGGGGAAGGGAGTCAATCCACAACACAGTTCAATGAGTAACACTGTCCTGCTAGAAAATTGAGGCCTAGTCCCTGGTAAATACTTGTCTCTAAAGAGGTAAGTCAAGCTGCAGCTGACTAGTAGATTTTGTGGATTGTCTTTGAAGTGAGGTCAGTCTTGCTAATTCCATGGTAAGATATTGAGAAAAGGGACATGCTACTGATTTAGCCTTTCTTCGACACCAGATATGTTGCATACAATCAATTTACTACTGAGAGGAAAATTCCCTTGTGCTTTCAATTTCCTGCTCATAGTGACCCTACAAGACCCAGAACTGCTTCATAGGGTTTTCCAAGGTTCTATTTGTCAAAGGAGCTCTGGTAGCGTAGTGGTTACGAATCGGGCTGCGAACCTTAGGGTCAGCAGTTCGAAACTACCAGCCGCTCCGCGGGAGAAAGATGAGGCTTTCTACTCCCGTAAGGATTTACACCCTCGGAAACCCTGTACAGGGTCGCTCTGGGTCGGAACCGACTCGACGGCACTTAACAACAATTTGTCATGGAAGCAGATTGCCACATCTTTCCTCTGCAAAATGGCTGCTGCATTTGAACTACTGGCTTTTCAGTTAGAAGCCAAATACTTTAGCTACTCTACTACTGAGAAACTGAGCCTTCAAGTGGTAATGTCACATGTACAACTAGAACCATACTTACAACCTTGAAGCCACTCTAGTATTTCCAGGTCAATCCAAACACACAGTGGGACCTTTGACAGGTCCCTCTTTACTGTAAGTATCCACACCCTCTCAGGGCATGACATTAGTGACATATTAGTGATCCCCAAGCTCCGTAAGTCAGAATCTGTAATAAATGTCATTGACCACCCTTACCCCACCTTTTGGAGTCCTGGGGTGGGTTAACGTGCTGGACTAAAAGGTGAGTTTGAACTGTAAGGTTGGTGATTCAAGCTCACCAGCGGTTCCTTTGTTCCTTAGGAACCGCTGTAAGTTGGAATCAATTCAATAGCACTGAGCAACAATAACTCACTTTTACAAAGTTTCCATCTAGATGAGTTAAGTTGGTGAAATATATTAATAAAACCACAATTAGATTAGAAGCTAAAAGGTAGAGTGTACAGAATACAAAAATCTATTCACAATGAAAAGTTAATCATAGCACTAAGAGGTATTTTAAACTTAAAGAGGGGGAAGCAAAATTATTGATTTGCTGCTGGCTACCAGGGTCGGTGGTTCTGGCTCACCAGCTGCTCCTCAGAAACAACTCGACGGCACTTAAGTCACTGAAAACTATACACATAAGAAATCAATAAAATGCTTCAGTAAACATAGAAATTACATGTTTTTTTATGTAAATCAAGTTAGCTGGAGAAGTTGAAGTCCCAATTACTAAGTCTTGTATTTATTTTTTACATACTTGTAGGTGGAGAGGAGAAATCAGACCAGGTATATGCAGCTGGGGACCCAAGGAACCATCATAAGGTAAGTTTCTTGGGTTTTCTTTTTGCCTCAAATATCCCAGACATGGAGCTGAAGAAACTAGTATCCCAGAAATATCAGTATGTAGAGACAAAAAAATTGGCCCAATGAGAGTCTGCTGTCTCCAGCTAATTGAGCAGTAAAGGAGCATTCTACTAAAAAATAATGATCTTTTAGATAACTGGTGGGGAATGTCGACTTCTATTCTCATTCAGGTATATTGCAGCGCCCACCCTTGGCTGCTGAGGTGGCATTAAGAGAACACGGGGCAGTAATGAGGCCCTCCTTTCATGGTGTCAGTGGACCCTTCGAAGAACTTGGACTTCTACCCCTACCTGCCAATAACAAGTCACTATTTCCCTTCTCCCATTGAAATAGTGTCAGAAGAGACCAAGTGAAATGCTGTAATTTCACCACTGCACAGAGATAATGAGGCCTCCTCACACCATGCTGTCAGGGGAGGACATGTGCTAAGTGGTAAAAAGTCATGCCCCCCATGGGGAGGGTACTACTAGAAGCTTAGGGAGGAGCCTGGACTTCCATGTCCACCTGGCATTACAAAGGTAGTGCCTTCCCTTACCTCCGAATACAATGTCTGTGACAAGGAGGCTAGCTAAAACACAAGCACTAAATAAGATGTAGTCTCTTAGAAAATAATACCCTAAATGTCCAGGATGCAATCTGATTAGAGAGCTTCAGCAAGCCAATAAAAACCACTTGAAATAAATCAAGGTGTTTATACAACTTAAACAGAGGGAAATAGGCTGAAAAAGAGGTGAACAGAATCTCAAAACTCGTTCGGGTACAACAAATGATCTAAAGCAGCCAGCTGATCTGAAGTGGGGGGAGGAGTGTGTGAACACTCAAACTTGCAGATAATACCCATTTGACCTAGCTTGGATGGCCTGATGACCACAACTCGACCAGATGAAGATGAAGAAATTTGATACTGTGAACAAGGATATATTGCTATAATCTGATGAACTCAACTTTTTGGATGCAGCTGCTCAAAAATTCCAATTGAGATGGAAGGATGCTTCAGATTAATCCATAAACAAGGATTATTAAGCTTATTTCCTCAGTGCACTGGGGTGATAACCAAAAGTGTCGTTGAGTTGGTTCCGATTCATAGAGACCCTGTATAGTGTTTCTGGGGAGTGGCTGGTAAGACTGAACTGCCATCCTTGCAGGTCAACCCAAACTTGCAGTCCAGTGCATTACCTGTAAATACCATACCAGGACTGTAACAGCACAAAGTGGCTTGTTTACAAGCTTCTATGAAGGGGATAAAGCAGAATCCATACTGAATAGTTTTCCTCTTTTCCAGATAGAGCTGGTAAAAGGGGAGTGGGGATGATAGGGATAGGATTTTTATGGTTCAATTGGTCAGATTGTAAAAGGGAGTTTCATTTCAGGAACAAAGGATTATCAAGAGGGAAGAGCATAAGTGGAGCATGAGATCGTAACCAGAAAAGTAGCAACAGCAGGGACAGTAGCAGAGGTGATGACATATAAAAATAGAGCAGCTGAGGACTCTAGCCCATAGATTGAGGAAAGCTGTGTGCCTACGGGCAAGAGACGGGTTTGCAAAATGTGCCCTTCAGACATTGAAAAGAACGTGTGCATCAAAAAGGGGAGATTGAGGTAAATACGTGGCACTGTGGGTTAATGCACCAGACTGAAAAGCTATTTGAACTGCAAGGTTGGTGGTTCAAGCTCACCTGCTCCTTGGAAACCCTAAACAGGGTTGCTATGGTACAGAATCAACTCCATGCATGGCACTTCACAACAACAACTGATTAAAAAAATCTGGGCAGATTATCAGCAAGGGCTTTAAAGAAAAGGCATATGGCCCCTGCAAGACAGCAGACCTACTTGAAGAGCAGAAAGTAGAGCAAGGGTTAGGCCAGAATTTCTTCATCCATAGGGGTAGGACTCCAGGTGTGCTCCAAATGTGCAGGTAGGTAGAAATCCGGCTGGTCTGAATCGCCACCAGATTGCCACCAACACCTGGGAAGAAAAAAAGCTGGTTTCCGTTTCTTCATGCTTGGTAGGGTGGAGAGTCAGAGAAAAAGAGGAAGACCCCCAAACGAGATGGACTGGCCAAGTGGCAGCATTGATGGACTCAAGTGTGACAACAGTAGTGAGGTTGGCCCAGGATCAGGCAGTGTTTCGTTCTGCTGTGCATAAGGTCACACTATGGGTCGGTACCGACTTGATGGCACCTAACAACAACGGGTGAGTTTGAACTGCCAACCTTGCAATCCAGCGCATTAACCCACAGTGCCACACCTTAATTCAGCTCTTGACATCCTTTCATTTTCTCCTACTGGACTACAGATCTTTCAATAAATATTTGCTGGACAGAGAGTAAAAAAGAAAGAAATATATAGAAGGGAGTGAGGATGTGGGGATCAAACCTGAAAGTTGTTTCTTGGAAAACCCCACATAGGGTCACTATGGGTTGGAAGCAACTCAATGGCACTTAAAAAATGTGGGCACAAAATGAAACACTCATGGGACCTTACAAGGCTAGGTAGCTGGAGGGGATTTTACGAGAAGACATTTTCTACTGGGTCATATCACAGGGACCAACTGGGGAAGAAACCATCAGTCCCTCACTTATGAAATTCTGGCTGAGCTGAGGCTGAAGAAAATTAAAACATATCCAATCTGCATTTAGATACCATCTCAAGAACAGATTTGATGCATTAGACACTAGTAAATGAAAACCTAAGAATTGTGGAATAACATCATCATACATAAAAAATGCAAAAGGTCACTAAGAAGACAAGAAGAAAGAAATGTGCAAAGTTGCTCCATGAGAGAAAGATGAGGCTTTCTGTTTCTGAAAAGATTTACAGCTTTGGAAACCCTAAATGATCCCGGACTTGGAACCAACGTAATGGCATTCAACAACAACTAAATGGACAGCACTTAACAAATGGACGTAATACATAATGATGCAGAAAGCATCATGAAAAGATGGAAGAAGTACCCAGAGTCACTTTTTATAAAGAACTGATTGATGTTCAACCATTTCAAGAGGTGCCATATGACTTAAGAACCGATGGCATGTAAAGAATTTCCAACTGCACTGAAAATATTGGCAAAAACCAAGGCTCTAGGAATTGATAGAATACAAAATGTGTTTCCAAAAACTGACGCAGCACTGGAGGTACTTACTCATCTATGTCAAACTTTGGAAGACAGGTCTTCCAATTGTGCCCATTCTAAAGTAACCCAGTGGAATTTGGAAATCAAACAATGTCACATACAAGTAAAATTTTGCTGAAAATAACTAAAAAAACATGACAATACAGCAGTAGAGAGCTGCTATAATATAAACTCAAGTAGGACTCTGAAGACAATCTGTTACTGGGACAGGCACCCTTAGTGACCTCCAGAAATAGAAAGCTGACTGAGTCAGATGTTCCTAAGAATGCAGAGAATGATCTGTGGATCAGGAATGGCTACGGATTACTCTTGTTTGGTCTGTACATAATATTCAAAAATAGAAGTGAGAACTCTCATATTAATTGGCAGAACTTATAAAATAGGCCCTTCAAATCAGCTCTGGCAACTCCAGGTCTGTGTTCCCCATAAGGCAACAATTAGCTAGAGGCGAGTAGTTGTTAGCCTTTCAGACAAGAAGCAAGGCTTGGTCGGTATCCTTCCTTACTGCATAGCTATCATCTTGCCTGGAGGCTTCTGTGTTGGTACCAACAGGGAAAATCATTCAGAGCTTATGACTTCCTTGCTGCTGTGTTTACTCACTGAGCCCTTGGATAACAGTCCTCTGTGTTTAATTTGGAAGTTCAGGCTTCAGCAATTCTGTTGATTACTGAACTTTTTTCCTGATAGTGTTCCAATACTGGCTCTTGAGAATCCCAAAAAACTTTTTCTTGGTCAGCTATTGAGGGATGTTTCCATTCCATACTTGGTCCGTTTAAGAGTAAACGGCAAAAAAAAAAGTTCGAAAGTCAACCAACAGTGCTAGTTAGTGAGATGCCCACTGAAGCCTGAACTAATAATCACGGAAGACTGCTATCCAAGGATGTTGTGACCTTGTATGACAATGCAAAAACTTCGCTTTGATATGTTAAAGCATCCTCCCTATATATTCCTGATCTTGCTCCATCAGACTTTCACCAGAAAGCAGCCCTATGAGGATGAAGAAGTGAGGACAGTGGTGCATTCTGTGGCTCCCAGCTCAGCCTAAAACATTTTAAAATGAGGGAATATGAAAGCTGGTTGAAGGAGGAGCAGATATTTTCTAAAAACTGCAGATTATTTTTGACTCACCCTCCTGTATATATGTTGCCCTATCGGAGTCCTAGCAATGGCACTGTGGGTTAATGTGCTGGACTTCAAAGTCAGTTTGAACCACAACGCTGGTGGTTCAAGCTTAGCAGCTGCTCCTCGGAAACCCTATACAGGGTCACTATGGGTCAGAACTGACTTGAACGTATTTAACAACACTGCAAGTTTAGCAGTTCAAACTCACCAGCCACTCCTTGCAAACCTTCTCCAGGTTTGCTATGAGTCAGGCCACACTCAAGAAACAGGGTAACAAGCATATGTTTTTCTTACCTTAGGTTAGTGCTGAGGTTCCTTCCTCCACCCCACCCAGGAACACAGGCAGATCACCTAGAATACCTACCACATATGATGGGCGTGAAGATGGCCATGCCTTGGTACCGTGGTTCAGAGATGGTTTTGCTCAGGATGAGCCCTCCAAAACTGTGAGAGAGCAGACAGTGTTCTTGGAGTCAGTAAGGCACACTCACAGGCCTGCAAACTTCCCTGTAGAGTCGCCTGTCAGCCTACCTGCCCAGCCCTGAACTCGCTTTCCTCTCCCCTACCCAAAGCATGGGATCCTGGGGTGGTATTGCAAGATTAACACTGGACTGCTAACCACAAGGTCAGTGTTTCAAACCCACCAGCCTATACAGGCTCCCTCTCCCTATGAATTGGAACTGATTTGATGGCACTTAACCAACCCCCACCAAACTTTGAGACCATATTACACACATTGTTCCATTTCCATCTGTTATGCATCTTAGCTATTCCAGCAGTCCACTAAATGACGGCAGTCCATCTGAAACCAGAACAACCCAAATGTCTTTCCTAGGTCCCGCAGTGGGCTGGTCTGTTGCATGGCCGCTCCACTGAAACCGAGATGCTCATGAACAGTGTGGGAGACCACTGGTTCTAGGGAAATGCTGCAGTACTTTCCTAGAGCCCTGGAGAAGTGAAATCCATTTTCAATAAGGTGTTCACCAGCCTTCTGGAATGAAGGATGCCTACACCTTGCCTCTTCTCCCTCAGAGTCATGCCAGAATATACCAGGGTGGCAGTCATCAAGGGCTCACAGCAGAGAACAGCCCTAGAGGGTAAAAGTGCTCTGAGTCAGAGCTCTGTACTTAACTGCTTGGATCTTCAGGCCTAAGCTATTATTTGCACAAGCCTCTCAGCCTTACCATTTGCTATGCTTTGGAAAAGGTGCCTGGATAGATGAGGAAAGTGAAAGAGCTGTATGTAGCCGTGAGGCTCTGTCATGGACCTGCTGCAGCCGAGTAGGGGTCTGGGCCCACAGCAATTCTGTTGGGCCTGAGCCATGTGAGACGCAGTATCCAAAAGTGACCCAGTGGGGCAATGGGCTGGAGTGCTTGTGGACACATCTGACGTTCACAGTTTAGGCTTCTTCCAGCTCCCTGGGCTCTAGTTCTTGTAAACAAGATTGCCTTTTTAAAAAGGAAAAAGCACTAGGGTGAGAGAGGAGTCCTGGTGTGGTGCCTTAGGATAAGCACCGTACCAAGTGCATTGTGGGTAGTTCAAACCTATTAGCCACTCCTTGGAAACACTGTAGAGCATCACTGTGAGTGAAAACCAACTTGATGGTACTAACACCACCAGGGTGCGAGAGCGGCTTCAAGGAGGTTTCCTGCAGATTAGGAAGTCAAGAGGTTTGGAACTGGGAGTCAGTGAGGTCACATAGCTTATTTATACTTCTTTCCAACTTCCCTCCAGGGACACCACTGCCCTCCACTGCTCCCAGGCTACAGACCATGGGGTGGCCTGGGGAGTGGGGGGATAAGGGGTCAGGTCTGCTCACCTGCTCACCACCATTGCTAGGATGATGGGGAACCACCCAAACTTGAGGATCTTCACTATAGCTGGACTCTGCTTCGCCACGATGCCCCACACTGGGGTCAGAGCCACAAAGGTGACACAAACCAGCAGTGTCAGATACCAACTCTCTGTAAGAGGAAAGGGGGATGTCACATAGCTGAAGTGGGGAAGAAAGAACACTGTGGGGCGGGGGAGGTTAGGGTTAGGGTTAGGGTAAGAGCGTTACATGGCTGAGGAAACGCTTTCAGCTTCATCAGTTTAGGGTGGACTGTCCTACCAGATCTCCCAAAGAATGTTCACTTTTACACACTTGAAAAAGCTTCCTCTCTATCCAGAATTTCAGCTACAATCACTGCCCTTGTCTAACTCTTTGCTGTTTCCAACTTCTTCAGTCTTTTCCTGTCCCAACCTTATCGTCATCACTGCTATTACTGTGGTATGTGCCAGTGGTGCACTCAGCCCTTTGTGATATCTTTTTTTATGAGCAATCAGCTGAGGAGCCACCCTGAAGAAACAGAAGTTTAAAGAGGACCCTGTTCAGGGCTCACAGAAGGAAGAGCTTGACACAACCAGAGTCAACCATTCGATAAATGTCCAGCCCTGGTCCTTGCTGAGGCCAAATTCACAGTCAGCTCCTTCTCCCCTGTATCTTCTACAACTGTTGAGAAGTTATTCAAGACAGCTGTGGGTCTGAGTCAGTTTCCAACAAACTAGGCCCGGGGTCTTAGACTCTGTGCCTGTGAGTTTCGTCTTCTAGACACACAAAACAACAGTGTATCTTCTGGATACTGGTTTCCTCCAGGAAACTCTACCACTGATCCTCCAGGGTATAGGATCCAAGGTGGTGCACATCCCCCTCCTGAGTTGTAACTATCTGGTGACTTGGTGCCAATAGTCATGTGTCCAGGCATGAACACGTGGCCCTTGTCCTTGTTCTCTGGGAAGGAATATTAGGAATAGCCCCTCCTCTATACCTAAAGAATATGGTCAGTTCCTTTACCACCAGGGAAACTGTCCTTACAGGCAGCTGAAAGGACAGACCACAAGTGCCTCAGACTGGCTACAAACAAGCACATCATGGTGGAATGGCTGACATTTTCCATCATCCCATAGAATGGGGGAAGAGCCAGTAGCTCAGAGCACGTCTTGAGCTTGTTGAGAAGCAGGAGCCTGTGTGGTAGCATTTGTTTACTGGGCATTTTTGAGTCCAGTCCAATTTTAAAATAACCATATACTAACTCCTGGTGTGGTATTTATTCTAGGATAAGCACTTGACTGATAGCCTCAAGGTTAGTGGTTCAAACCCATAAACCGCTCCTCAGAAACCCTACACAAAGTCACTATGAGTTAAAATCGACTCGATGGCCCTTAACCACCCCACTCTCAGAGGTTCCTGCCTTCTATTCCCAGTCATTGTAACGAGTGTGCCTTCTCTTCCCAAAGACTGAGTGAGTCTGCCAACCAGAGCGGAGCTACCACTCACTCACTCTGGTCATTTCCTGTGTGCCAGTCACTCAGCGATTCCGTTAGTACAGCAAAGAAACTGTCTTACTTAGAAACAGACAACCCAACAATGGCTTAACGTCCGAGAAAGCATGTGTGGAAACGTGTGTGGTATAGTAGGAGTGCGGGTGTGGCGCTGTAGTATAAGCACTGGACTGCTAACTGAAAGGGCCACCAGCTTCTCCTTGGAAACCCTATAGAGTGTGGACACAGAGCAAGAGGATGGAGGGTATCTAACTCATTTATTTTGCAAATCTAGCTAAAATAATTTGTGCAAATTCAAATCTTGTTTTAAATTCAGTTTGCTGTCAAACTAAATTTAGAACTTACTCAGTTCCTACAATTCCTTTGCTGCCACTTACCTGAACTTTTAGAAGCGTCAAGAAATCTCCAAACCATGAGCTACTTTTGATGGCAGGCAATATAAAGGATGTCAGTGAGATGGCTCGAGAACTGGGACAGAAAGGGTCCATGTGCTATTACATTTGACATCGGAGTTGTGTTATTACTGACCATTTAAAAAAAACTGGGGGTTTCACAAGTCCCTAGGCCCATGTTCTCACATGGGAGCTTTGTGGAGGCTCTTCCCTTATGTTAGGCCATTTCCTCCAACTGCCGTATAACTCCCCACCACTCCCTACAGCCTTGTCCATGTCCACTTCACATCCTATTGCTCCCTCTCCACAGGTATGCGAGGTAGCAACCAGGCCCTGAATCAACACACTAGTAACTCGTATGCACCTTGCTCAGAGAGACTGGACCACGCTAAAAGCCTTCATATGTATGAAGCAGAAACAGAACATTCTATAACGGTTAATGTTGCCTGGGCATGAAAGCAAGCACTGTCCTCCACGGATCACCTCTGTGCGCTGGTGAAGTTAAGGCCACGAGGGCCCAGGACCCAAGATAGTGGACACCTCCCTTCGCTGCTGACCCTGTCACAAGGCCCCCTTCTGAGGAGCCCTGAGCTTCTGCCTGTCGTGTCAGGGCCCACTGCAGCAGCTCTTGCATTTCTCCTGGGAGCCCTTTCTGTGGTGGAGAGGAGTCTGCTGAGAGCAGTCTTTCCCAGGAGACATCTAATCGGTGAGGCAGCCTTCTCTCCTCGGACCTGCCCAGCTCTCTCCGAATCCATCTGTTGTAAAGACTACTGTGGAACATGTGTCTGTATAACAATTGACAAAGAACACCTCTCACTTGTTGTATGACCTCAGGTTTTCTGTCTGTAAAAGGAGGATTTCACATACCTCACAAGGTTGGTGGTTCAAACTCACCAGCTGCCCCTTGAAAACCCTATACAGATGGCTGTGAGTCAGAATTGATTCAACAGCATTTAACCTGGGATTGGTGATGACCTGCCCTAGGGCCCCTTCTTCCTTGGTGCTTCCCTACCTTTGTGTCTATAGAAGAAGCTGCTAACCAACGCCAGAATGGACAATGTGATGAGGTCTCCCAGGCTGGCTGCGATGGGTGTAGCAATGTTGTCTGGGTTGATCCCAAGCTTCCGAGCCCCAATCACTATACACACCATCATTGTTCCTGCAGCGACAGAAAAGAAAGAAGACTCAGATGCCAGGAAGTCAATCAATCTGTAAAGGCTTGGGACACAGGGGCTATGGCATGGTGATGTGACAGAAATGGGCCATAAGCATGCCTACTAGCTCACTTTATAACTGTCGAAGCATAGGTTTGAAGGCAGGCAACCACAATGCATTCAGGGTGTCTCTCACTATAAAGGAGACCTGAAATGGCTGGAAGAGTTAGATCTACCTTGAGAATGTGGGGAGATACTCAGACGTGACAAGCTTTTGTCCCTTTTCCTTTTAATCATTTATTTTTGTTGAGAATATACACAGCAAAACAATTTCTTAATGTACACAGCAAAACAATTTCTTAATGTACAACTCCATGACATTCATTACGTTCTCGAGTTGTGAAACCATTCTTAATCCTAGTTTTCTGAGTTATTTCTCTCCTGCTAACGTAAACCCATTCACCTTATATTTCCTGTCTGCTGTGGTACTGTGCCAGGTGAATTCCACACAGCCAGATCTTAAAAGAACACAATGCTCAAAGCATTCTTTACTGTTAGGCTATTGTGTGGTTTTAAGTAGACGTCAGGAGATAGTTTTGGTTTAAGGCTTAAACATGATCTCAGGCCTATATAGTGGTACCCAGGCATCATCTAACTTTTCTGGTCTCATGATAAAGGAGGCAGTTGTTTATGGAGGCAATTCCATTTTCAACTCCCAACAGAGAGTAATTATTATACTTGATCAAAAGATTTGATGACACCTTCCAGCAAACTCTGATGAGAGCCTGGCAAAGTCACCTGTAATTACCAAGACATATGTTGCAGCCTCATGCTGTTTTGAAGGCTCCGAGCAAAGGGAACATGGCTCTGGGCACAGGCCTCCCTCATGAGTCCCGGTCCTCTGACAAGCAGATAGCAAGATGGGATAAGCATGCTGCAAGAGATATATCAGGGCCCAGCCTATAAGGAGAATGAAAAGGGAGGTAGGGGACTGTGAACCAAGTGCCAGACCATCATGCAGGCTAGACTCCAAGGAGGGAAGAGACAAAGTAAGGAAGAGGTAGAAGTATCTTAGTGGGTAGCGCAGTACCAAGGCCATAGGGTACAGGGTCCCTCCAGTGGCATTCCTGGAAACGTGCCTTCCATGGCAGCCTGAAGCACCACGTTGGGGATGACAGAGCTGGTGGTAATGGATATCTAAGCATGATGGCCATGTCTTCTTGGCACCACACATCTGAGGTTACACTAGATTCTGACTATTGTAGAAAGCTAACATCGTAGCTCAT